ATATTTGGGATTAAATTCAGATACATCCTCAGGAAAGTAGAAGAAAAACCTGAAGATTAATTTTTCCTGAAATAAATTACATGAACAAAACTTTTTTGTTAATATGGGACTTTTACTAATTATATAATTCATTTCTTATAAAGCACATGCCTTTGTCATAGCAGAACTTCTCATTTCAATATCAAGTGAATCTCCTATAAAAGTAATCAAAGTGAAAATAGGACACAATCACAGGAAATTCGTATTAAACTGGACAAAATTATAAAATGATGCAATCATTAAGAAATAAAGTAACAATCGGGCGCCTGGGTGGCTCAGTTGTTAAGCGTCTGCCTTCGGCTCCGGTCATGGTCCCAGGGTCCTGGGATCGAGCCCCGCATCGGGCTCCCTGCTCGGCGGGAGGCGTGCTTCTCCCTCTCCCACTCCCCCTGCTTGTGTTCCTGCTCTCGCTATCTCTCTCTCTCTGTCAAATAAACAAACAAAATCTTTAAAAAAAAAAAAAGAAAGAAAGAAGGTAACAACTGGGACTTTATGTACTAAGTACTAAGTGTTCTAGCTCCTCTGGCATTACCTTATATAGGAACTCTGGGATACAAACAGAAACATTAAATTGAGGAATTGGATCCCAATGAGTTGTGAATTCTACTCTTAGTCCAGACAAGAGAAAGGAAATTGTGAAGGGAAATGAAGCATTAGATTTTTCTCATTTTAGGGAGGTGCTTTGTTATTTGAAGAAATTACTATCTCCATTTTGTACAGTTATGTTTAAAGCTTCCATAAAATTGGAAATCATAAAAGCAGAAAAGAGGTGAAATCTGTCTCTACTGTTCCTAGGATTTCTGCACCAAGCCCCAATATGCCCACCACTCCCCTCACACACCTCTGACATGAGGCAAAACAGAACTTAGAAATGGTCTAAGAGAGTTCCTCAGAAATAGGCAGATTTTTCCTATAACAGATTTCCCCAGGTCTCCAAAAGCAATGGAAAAGCACTCAGATCATGAAGGCCTTCACCATCCAAGTGGAGGGTGTTGTCTATGCTGTGAATGTGATGGAAGATCACTAGAGCTGAATGAGAATCCTCATGGGATGTAAGAGCATGAGTGTTGGACAGGGGGTGTCCCTCTGACAGCAAGAGAAATACACCAAGGCTTCTCAAACTTATTTCTATTCCAAGAGAGCTACCCAAACCACAGTGTAAGGTCTAGCTTCCTCCTTGACCTTTGGGCCTCACCTCTGTCATCTGCTTTATTCATTCCCACCTACCTGGGTGGATGGCTACTGTCTCCTTTCCCTTCACATCCCAGAGCTCCCTCTTTTGCTCCAAAAAGATGACCAGGTCTGGCTTTGACACAACAAGACCTGTTTATTAGAAAAAAGGAATGAGTATGGCTAGTGATTCTAGCTTCCAATCCAGTATTATGCTCACTAGAGAGAAGAGAAGACATTGTAGAATTCTAGAAAATGACTTCCCAGAAGCTGTGGTCTAACAGCCCACTGAGAACATGAAGGAGGGATTTGTAATGTTCAAATCTTGGACTCCACTTCCAAGTACTACATACAATAATAAGGAGTGGAAATTGGAGTTCAAGATGCGGGCAGCACCATTTTATGCCCCTCACTATTGAGAATCACCACTCATCTACAGAAATGATGATGTTCCCTTAAGGAAGGGGAAGCTAAAGCTGGAAAGGAAACATCATGAAGATTTTTCTCTCCACCTATAAACCCTTACTTACTTCCCTTACTGCAGCAATCTGAATCCCAGTCGTGCAAAGAATCTTCCAAGAGACGGTCTTCAAGGGAAGGAAGAAAACCCTGAGTGTGGTTTGGGAAATCTGGAAGGAAGTCATCCTCACCCAGGAAGAGGAGGTTTCCATAGTTCTCTAACATCACATCCCTGTACAATTCCCGCTGAACGAGGCTCAGGCATCCCCACTCCTCCTGAGAGAATTCTATGGCCACATCCCTGAATGTCAGCGGTCCCTGCAATAAACACCACAGTTACCAAGTGGCCATTGACAGAGTTCACAATGGTCCCTAAGATGAAAGAGGAAGTTAATGTCACCAGCTAGACCCACGACCTAAACTTTCTGCTCACCTGCTAGTACCCCTTGAATTTGTCCCAAATTTTCTTTAAGCTCTTTTTCCCAGCCTTTTTTTTTTTTTTTTAAGATTTTATTTATTTGACAGAGACACAGTGAGAGAGGGAACACAAGCAGGGGGAGTGGGAAAGGGAGAAGCAGGCCTCCCGCTGAGCAGGGAGCCCGATGCGGGGCTCGATCCCAGGACCCTGGGATCATGACCTCAGCCGAAGGCAGAGGCTTAACGACTGGACTGAGCCACCCAGGCACCCCTCAGCCCATCTTTAAATTCAGGCAAAAAAAACCCCCAGGGACATAGTTTCCCATAATGGAAACAAAAACTACTACGCAAGTAGTAAATACTACCCTGACTAAATGCTCCAGCACCCAGACCACCCAGACCAGTTTGGGCTTAAACGCCAACTCACACCTGTGCAGATGCACCTCAGAGTGACCCATGGAGTCACCCATAGAGTGACCTACAGTTACCTTTACCTCATTATAATACTAAATTCTCCCCCAAGGAGCACAAAGCTCATTTACATAACATACAAACTGTGGTTAGAATGGTTTCCTTAAAGCAGATGCATGACCTTATGCCCATCTCTTCATAAGATGACAAGGCTACCCTTTCTAAATATTCATCCTAAGCCTAAATAAAAGGAACTCATTCACCCTTGCTCTGGGAGTCTTGGCTTTGGAAATTATTCCCTGTGATCTCCTTATTTGCTATAAATAATTTTCCTTTGTGTGACAACTCCACTGTGTAGTTTCTGTCTATGATTCACCGGGAAGCAAATTCACTTTAGTTCAGTTACAAATTTGGTGATCCAGATGGGACAGGTGTCTTTCCCAAGTTCTGGCCTCTGGTTCCCTGGCTTCCAACAGATGAAGCAGTGGGCACCATAAGCTCACCCCGGCTAACCTGTTCAAGTTACTGGGGCCGGGGGCAGATTCCCTGAGGGAGGAAGGAGGCTCTCACTCTTCGTGCCTGTGACGGCCAGCCTGGGGTTCTGACATCACCTGAAATCCAGCATCCACTCTGACTACTATTACTCAGAAGGACTTCTGTTGGGATAAGTTAACAACAGGTACGTGACACAGCTTTTTTTTTTTTTTTAAGACTTTAATTATTTATTAGAGAGAGAGTGAGATCACAGATCATGAGTGGGGGGAAGGGTAGAGGGAAAAACAGACTCCCCACTGAGCAGGGAGCCCAATGAGGGGCTTGATCCAAGGACTCTGGAATCATGACCTGAACTGAAGGCAGACACTTAACCAACTGAGCCACCCAGGCGCCCTGTGACACAGCTTTCAGAGGTAAACTAGAGTTGTCTGACAAAGTCTGGGCAAGCCAGCATAATATTAGGTCAGAATACTCTGAGGGAATTGAATACTCATTGAACTTGAGTCTAGACATCCCTGATGACAGATCACAGGACCCAGCCTTTCACAGGCTTGGGATGATCTCACCTAGCAAAATGGGAGTGAACTAATGGAGACTAGTCTAAGGTCTGTGAGATTGAAACCTCCATCTCACCTGGTTGTTTGGACTGTTTGTTGTCCCCAATTTAAATGCCCACCCTGGCTGCTTGGTCCTTAAGCACTTCCTCCTTTCCCTTAACCCCCCAAAAAAGAGGCAGCGACTCCCTGGGTCCCTGGAAGCATGCACTTGGCACAGGTAAGAATTCTATTTAGCTGGTTAAAAGACAAATGCTTGTTAAAAAAAAGGGGGGGGCATTCTAAAATCCACAAAAATATAAAGTAACCCAAATTTTTTCACATCTACATATCTGGGATCGTTTTTATAAATTAAAGTTTAAGCTTGTTGGTTTAATTAAAATAGACCTGTCTTTTGGACAATGCCAGGGGAGGATTGGTGAACAGACTTTACTGTAATGCCAATGGCCCCTGGTGTTTGTAGATATATTCACTGGATGGACTAAGGCCTTTCCCTGAAGGACAGAAAGAACTAACAAAGTAACTAGGCCCTTAGTAAAGGAGAAAATTCCTCAATTTCAGTTGCCAAGGTCAATCCAGAATGACAATGGGCCAGCCTTTATATCCAAAACTATTTGAGATGTCATGTAGAGGTTACACTCTGCCTGGAGACTCAGAATGGGAGAGCAGAACCCTAAAACAGACTCTGGCAAAGTTGTGCCAGGAAACAGGAACATTGGTTAAAGTTACAAGCAACAGCTCTCGCCAGAGTGAGAGCTACCCCAAAGGGCAAACTAAAATCTTGGCCCATTTGGGATGACGTATGGGAGGGCTTTCCAAAATGCTCTGACTCCTTCTCACCTCCAGACCCACAGGTTTCTCAAGCCATTAAGCATATAATTAATCTCTGACAGGTGATGGATACACTCAACAAATACGAAAATTTTTCCTCCCTCTACCCACTGAAATTAAGCTTCACCCAAATGAAACTGGGGACTGTAGTAGTACCCAGTGCTACTAATCACATGCTCTTCCTTCACATTAGAGGGAGCCCTACCTTGAATCCACCCTAGGAGAGTAAAATAGGCATCTACCCTGAGGCCCAGGGGGAGATGCTACTAGCACCAGATAACAACAAATATTCCTCTGAGCCATTCACTGACCTGAAACTTCTGTTGGAGAAACTCACAAGGTTAGTAGAGCCTCAGTGCGTAAGGGCTCTCAAATTTAAACCATAATAATCTCTATCTGTAGGACAGTAGTTCTGCTGTTCTGGTTTCTTCAGCCTTTTTGTTTGCTGCCAGGCCCCTTTAACAGATTAAATCATTCTCTGACTGTTGAGTAATAAATACCACAGTTTATTGTTAGTACATGGCAAATAGATGCCCTAGACCCCTCTGACTTGGTCTGATTTTACAATGAACACCTTTTTTTTTCCTTTTTTTTTAAGGTTTATTTGAGAGAGAGTGAGCAAGCGGGGGAGGAGGAACAGAGGGAGGGAGAGAATCTTGAGCAGACCGCACTGAGTGCAGAGCTTGATCGCTTACCAGAAAACAGTGGATTTATACAAATTATAAGCTATATGTAGCATCCATGCCCTGTAATGTCTAATGTATTTATTTGTTTTGGGGGGCTTTTTTATTTTTATTTTTTTTAAAGATTTTATTTATTTGAGACAGCGAGAATGAGAGACGGAGAGAGAGCACACGAGAGGGGGGAGAGTCAGAGGGAGAAGCAGACTCCCTGCTGAGCAGGGAGCCTGATGCGGGACTCGATCCCGGGACTCCAGGATCATGACCTGAGCCGAAGGCAGTCGCTTAACCAACCGAGCCACCCAGGCGCCCTTGGGGGGCTTTTTTTAAAGACTTATTTATTTTAGACAGAAAGAGAGGAAGAGAGAGTGTGAGCGGGGGGAGGGGCCCTGGGAAAGAATCTCAAGCAGACTCCCCAGTGAGCGTGGGAGCCAGATGCTGGGCTCAATCCCATGACCCCTGAGATCATGACCTGAGGCGAAATCGAGAGCCGGGCACTTAACCAACTAAGCCACCCAGGCGCCCCACAAAGAACACCTTCTTAATTTTACTTCTTGTCACTATTATCCTAGAGATGCTAAAAGCTATAAACACAATGGGCCATCCCTGGGGGATAAATTCCCTATGTAAATGTCAGTAGGACTATAACAAAAAGAAGCTAACAAAACACTGCCCTTATTGCTGTTTGGACCCTGCATACTTAACGGCTTGGTGCAATTTTGTCCAAGCACACAGAGGCTATAAAATTACAAATGGTAATAACACGGGGATATGAGCAGCTTGGGGTTAAACCTGGACACCCACATGCGTATCTAAAACTAGCGGAGGAAAAATTCTGCTCCTCAGTCAATCCTTAGGATATGCCCATGTCTAGCAGGAAAGTAGCTCCAGAAGATGGACCTTCTCCTTGTGCCCCTCAAGAACGAGGGGACTGAAACCAGAGGAGGGATTTGTCACCAGCTAGACCCTGAGACCGGACCTTTACTGCCCACCTGCCTGTGCCCAGCGAGCTTTGTCCCACATTTTCCTTAAGCTCTTCTTTCCAGCTTATCTTTCAACTCAGGCAAAAGACCTGATGGGCACAGCCCCCCAAAAATGGAAACTTGCTCAAGGATTAAGGACTGCTCTGACAAAGAGCTCCAGTGGCCCAAACCAGTTTGAGCTTAACCTCCAAATCACACCTGCAGATAAACAGTTACCTTTACCTCATGGTAATACTAAATCTCCACTCATTTATGTAACAAAGTATGTATAGACTGGTTTTCTTAAGGCGTGTGCACGACCTAATACCGGCCTCTATAAAAAATGACAAGGCTCCCCTTTCTAAATATTCATCCTAACCCTAAATAAAAGGAATCCACTCATCCTTGCTCGGGGAGTCAAGCCTTTGGAAGTTATTCCCAATGATCTCCTTATTTGCTGCAAATAAAATTTCCTTTTTGTCACAGCTTTACCTGGTGTGCTTTGTATGTGTGACTCACCAAGGAGTGAACTCATATGTTCGTTCACTTATATTCAGGAGAACTGGTTCTGGCTTAGGTGTGTTTCCTGCTGTATCCATAAGATAATTTTTTTGAAGATTTTATTTATTCATTTGAGAGAGACAGAGACAGCACAAGCAAGGGGAGCTGGAGAGGGAGGGGAAGACTCCCTGGTGAGTTGGGCTCTAGCCCAAGACCCTGAGATCCTGACCTGGGCGGAAGGCAGACACTTAACCATCTGAGCCACCCAGGTGCCCCCATAAGATAATTTTTAACACACTAATGTGCTCTAATGTATTCTCTAGCCCTGAGGTAAAAGGATGGCATATGAACCACAAAACCATTATAAATACTGTGTTTACCCAAGATAACTTGTCAAATGAAGGCCTCAATACAGGCATACACATTACTGAGAACTACATTTAGATCATACAGTAGAAGTTGTGTCTATTTCTTACATGGAGTTTTGGTGGATTACAAATGTACTTATCAAATTCTAATGTGAGTTAGAATTTCACAACAGGCATTGTAGATCTTGTGAAAATGCAGATTCTGTTCCAGACTTCTGGAGTGGGATAGGGGTCTGCATTTCTAACGGAGGCAGTAGCCTATGGGCCAAAGGATACATTTTTTTTTTTAATAACAAAGCGGTAGAACTCTAAGAATTCTTGGAGGACTTGGAACTGAAGGCATTTTACTTAGCAAGAACGGCACAACAATACTTTTTGAGCATTTACTGGTTACTAGATAGCATTCTAATGACTTTTCATAAATTAATGCACAAAGAAGTAATAATAATCTAACAGAACATGTTCTTTTTATGAGAATATTTTGACAAACATCCAGTACATGGAAGGGATTAGTTTTTAATCCAGGTTGTCTGACCTAGAATCGATCTAAAATGACACCCAGGACAATAATACAGAGACAAGCCTGCTGCAATCTGAGAAGAGTGATGGAAACAAGAAGACACCGACACAAAATGGATCTACTCTTTACATTTTATGCACACATCCACGCATGTAAAAAGCAATTACATACACATTAAAAGTGACAGAGTATAAAACTGTCATAGTAGCTGAAGAAACATTCTCAATGGCATAAAACTTATAAATCCATGTGTGGATGATGATGCTTCTGTCTTTTAATCACACTATAAAGACAAACACAGAGAATGCTATAAAGAAAACAGCTATACACTGTATGTGTATGTTAACTAGAATTTAAATAAAAATTTGGGGAAAAAAAGAAAACCGCTAACATTTGAGTCTAGTATTTCATTGAAAATTTTCTTCCAATAACCATTTATGCTATATTAGGTTTTAGAATTTTAAGATACTCAGAACATGTTAATTACGTGACTCTGGTTTTCTGTTTCTGAAAATACAAAGAATACGGTATGTCTGAGACATGGGTGTGGAGTAAAACAGAAACTTGCAGGACAACGGCCTGAATTCTTTATGAACACCACTTCCAGCAGTCCGTTACCTCCAGCGCACAAAAGAGAGAGCCCTCATTTTCCATTGGAAACTACAAGCAAAGAGAAACTCAGAAGAAAGGAGTTTCCAGTTTGACTGTGATGGCTTCTGCACACCTTTCAGTAAATCCATCTAATCCCTATGAATGACTAAGAGACATATTTACATTATACATAAAGAATCTGGCAGAGAGCACCAAGCCAAGTAAAAGAAGTTAACAGCAGCTGTAATAATAAGCAAATTGGTATCAGTGCCTGCAGCACGAGGAAGGGCATATTATCACTGCCCCCCAAAAATAAATCAAAATTATGAATCTAATTATGAGGAAAGAGTGGATATATACAAATCACAAGCCACACCAGCGCCCACATCCTGTAATGTCTAGTGTATTTTTTTTTAACGATTTATGAGAGAAAGGGAGAGAAAGCGAGTGGGGGGAGGGGCAGGAAAGAATCTCAAGCAGACTCCCCGCTGAGCGTGGGAGACAGACGCTGGGCTCAATCCCACGACCCTGAGATCATGACCTGCGCTGAAATCAAAAGTCGGTCACTTAACCAACTGAGCCACCCAGGCGCCCCTCTAGTGTATTTTAAATAGAGCATCTCTCTTTCACATTCTAAACAGCAAGGCTGTGTCTTTTCCAGAACTTTCTGAGTTATTTGGGACACATATCCATCCTGCTTATTTGTGCATTTTCTTAATGCTGGTGTACACACAGCCATTAAAGTATCCAGATGGGACCTAACCGTGAAATGTTCCCCTTGACTGACTGATATCCCAGGACTCGACCACATCGACGACAGAAATCTTTAATTCAATGCTTTCCCCTGTGAATCTGTCACGAGGGAACATTTTTGATAGATACAAGACATTAATTCAAAATGACAATTGTTCGGGCCCTATCGGAAGCCAGGTCGGAGGGAAGGGAAAGAGGGCTCTGGAATATAGGAGAGTATTCTAAAGAGCTGAATTTCAGTATCCTTAAAAAAAAAAAAAAAAAAAAAAAAAAATTATTATTATTTATTTTATTTTAGAAAGAGAGTGCGTGCATGCGCTCGTGAGCAGGGGGTAAGGCGGGTGAGAAGGGCAGAAGGAGAGAAGCGGACTCCGCAGTGAGTGGGGAGCCCCACGCTGGGCTCAGGCTCGCCACCCCGAGATCGCGACCTGAGCCAAAATCAAGAGTCCGACGCCTTATGGACTGAGCCACCCAGGCACCCCTCCGTATCTTTTTTAAAAAGGTTTTTTTTTTTAAAAAAAATAGGTGAAAACACTAAGACAGCGACATCAGTACTAAAGGAATCAACACTGGCAACTTCTGATTGCTTGGAATTTCAGCAGAAGATGACAAGGCCTCCGACCTGGGACGCGAGGCTTACCTGAGCATTAGCCATTTCTTCTTCCTTCCCCTCGTTCTCTGGATTTCTTTCTCAGAGGAGATTTCGTGGAGAAATCACAGCTGCATCGGGAGAAAATGCCCTCAAAGCCCCCAACAGAGCCTCCTCACATGTAAACTGGTCGCCTGCAGGCAGGACCGTGAAATGCAGAAAAGGCCCAACTTCCTAGTCCTTTGTGTCAGGGGCTTTTCCGAAACAATGAGCTCCTGTTCGGAGACCGATCCCTGAGTTTCTCCGTCTCTGCTTCCGTTAGAGGAGGCAGATGGCTCTGTTCTAACCGGATACCTGGAGAAGAGCAAACAGAGAACCGTAGCCACCTATCAGCGAAGTCAGACGCCCGTCCGGGCAGCGCTCCACAAGAAGCCAGATCAAACCAGCCGGGCCCAAGATGGCGGGTGCCATGACCGGAAGCGCCAGGCCAAATAAGGAAGAAAAGGCGCGGAAACCCCGCTTTCAAGAAATTCCCACCCCAAGTAATAAGTAGTCCACCCCCTAGTTAACAACCGTCAATCACACGTAGAAACCCCAAGCCCGGGGCTGCCGGGTCTCCGTCGGGATCTCCCGCTCTCACATCTTGAGAGTGTACTTTGCTTTAATAAACTTTCCTGTTTGTGTCACTCATTTGCTGTGCTCTCTATGTCCCTGAATTCTTTCTTGTGACAAGAGGAGGACACTTCAGCAATATATTTGGGATGGGCTGGATCGAGGCCCCAGGGTCTCCCCAGTCCACCCAGCAACACTTTCAAGGGGCCTCACTTCCCACAGACAGACGCCCACAAGTTCTACAGCATAGGAACCCTGTGCTGCCTGGACCTGGCCCTCCCAGACTCGTGTAGCAGAGACCCTGTTACCTCTCCTTGAGCCAGAGCCTGCTCTCAACTCTCGTAAAAGAACCTGAAGCCCTCATGCTTAACCCTGGCCTCACTTAGAATCACCTGGAGCCCTTAACTACAACACGGTTGTTTTCACCTAAATCAATTGACAAGAGTCTGAGGGGGAGGCCACCAGATACTATCCTTTTTGAAACGCCACACGTGATCCTACTGGGAAGCATTTGCGGAGGTGACCAGGCACCTTAATCTACTGTATGTTTAAAATAACCAGTCTAGGGCGCCTGGGTGGCTCAGTCGTTAAGCGTCTGCCTTCGGCTCAGGTCATGATCCCAGGGTCCTGGGATCGAGTCCCGCATCGGGCTCCCTGCTCTGCGGGGAGCCTGCTTCTCCCTCTCCCACTCCCCCTGCTTGTGTTCCTGCTCTCGCTGTCTCTCTCTGTCAAATAAATAAAATCTTTAAAAAAATAAAAAAAATAAAATAAAATAACCAGTCTAGGGGCGCCTGGGTGGCTCAGTCCTTAAGCGTCTGCCTTCAGCTCAGGTCATGATCCCAGGATCCTGGGATCAAGCCCCACATCGGGCTCCCTGCTCTGCAGGAAGCCTGCTTCTCCCTCTCCCACTCCCCCTGCTTGTGTTCCCTCTCTCGCTGAGTCTGTCTCTGTCAAATGAATAAATTAAAAAAATCTTAAAAATGAATAAATAACATAACCAGTCTAAAATAATCCTTATGCCAAAAAAGACATATTTTGGGGTTACAAAATGCTCCCCTTGATGTGGAAGCAAAAGCAAGAGAAAACATTAAATATCCTTACTTCCTACAGCCCATTGACAAGTCCTTAAAACAGGTAGAGTGAAGCTCAGCGGCCTCTGTGTTAATACTTTGCTAAGGGCGAAAGCCAATCTTAGCTTAACATTATCCCAAACACCCACCCTCACCCCAGGATCCTGTAAGTCTACTTTAATATATAAAAATTCTTTTGGAAACTTCCGTTTTCTCTACCCCCCAACATATATGTTGGCAATCATCCTCCAAACATCTGAAGGGCCTCATGACTAAGGTCTTATTAGATGGAAATAAATGCCCTTTACCTAACCCCTCAAGGTCCTGGAAATCTTGCTTCCAAAATTCCTTAGAGACTTACATTATCCCTAACCCCCTCCCCATTTGAAAGTATATAATCTGCCTCTCCTCATGACCCCAGTGCAGCTCTTCCAGCCCTGGGGTCCTGTACCATTAATAAAAATGGTGAGTAGGGCGCCTGGGTGGCTCAGATGGTTAAGCGTCTGCCTTCGGCTCAGGTCATGATCCCAGGGGCCTGGGATCGAGTCCTGCATCAGGCTCCCCGCTCAGCGGAGAACCTGCTTCTCCCTCTGCCTCTCTCTGTCTCTTATGAATAAATAAATAAAATCTTTAAAAAAAAATAAAAATGGTGAGTAATAAAACCACCTTTTTGCACCAAGGATGACTCAAGAATTCTTTCTTGGCCGTGGGCTCTGAACCCCAACATATTTTCTACATCATCCTTTAGTAGGTAAATGTTTATTTTCATGAGTAACCGCCAGTTTTCCAGAGTGAATGCACGTTTTACCCTCCTATCAGCAATATATGAGAATTCTAATTGCTCAACATTTCCACTGAAATTTGATATTATCCTTCTTTCTCTATGTTAGCCATTCTAGTGGTTTCTCATTGTAAAATATGAAGTGGTCCTGCTGTTGTCCTACTGATTGGGATGAATGTGTAGGAGAGGAAAACTCTTTTCTTCCTTCTAGATTCTTTGGCTGGTTTAATAATTAAACTGACATAAAACAGATTATTCAAAGGAGAAAAACAAATTTAATTTCCTCATTGTAAGAACCCCAAAGATATTAGACTCAAAGACAAGCAAATGATGCTCAAATGCCATTCTGACCTAAGGAAACGGGGATAGAATTTAGAATTTCAAAAAGGGGGAAGTGTATTCACAGGAAAAAGGAAAGAGCAAATGCTGGCAAATGTTTTCCACAACAAGCAGGTGAATCTTTCTCATAAAAAAAAATTATCTCTCGTGTTAGCTCTCTTCCAGATTGAGGTCCCCTATCTAATTTCTTTTGGCAGTTAAATGAGAGGCAAAATAACATAACCTGAGTCTGCTGGATTCTAATTGCCTTCAACTCAAAACAATCCACACACAAAGTGATTTATTTTGACATCACATATTCTCTCCCAAATGAATAAAGAAAAAGTGGCTCAGTTGGTTAAGCATTTTACTCTTGATCGCAGTGTTGTGAGTTCAAGCCCTGCATTGGCCTCCATGCTGGGCATGGAGCCTACTTAAAGAAAAGAAAAAGGGTAAGGGGTGTGTGTGTGTGTGTGTGTGTGTGTGTGTACCTATTTCAGCCTCAGAAGTGAAGGAAATATTTCCATTTGCAACAGGATGTACTCAGAGGACATCTTGCCAAGTTAAATAAGCCGCACGCAGGAATAAACCAGTTCTGTATATAATCCACATGTATGTGGAATCCATAAAAAGTTAAAATCATAAATGTGAAGATTAGCATGTTTGTTGTCAGGGGCTGAAGGTGAGGGAAACAGTTGAGATGCTAGTCAAATGGTAAAAAGATTCACTTAGGCAAGATAAATAATTACTGAAGGTCAGCTAGCCCTCTTGCTCAACTGCAGGCCCCAGCAGTTAAAACCAGAAACAGACAAGAAGACCACTTAACTCATGCTGTGAAACCCCTCGTTTGTACTTTTTATCACACTTTCTTTAGGCGTTGAAGATGTTTTAAAATGACCAGAACATTCCAATTGCCAGGCCAGAAAAGTCCTGGTAGCAACAGAATGCCTGCAAGAACTCATCCCCAGCTCTGCTCCTTCTAGGCCCATGACTGTGCCCTGACCACGTACCAACCCCCGCACATGATCCTGTGCTCCCTGCCTGCTCTCTTGCATGTGCCCCCCCGAACCTCTCCCTATAAAACACTAGGTGTCCATCCTGTTGGTAGAGAGATCAGTTATTAAGGCTTGAATCTACCTTGTCTCCCCAAAATAAATTTCTCCCTTTTGCTTTCCCAATCCCTTGTCTCTTGAGTTCTTGGTTTCTCTTGTGATGAGTTTATAGGAGTTTTTTCAGCAACAGTGTGGGCAAACCCAGCCAGGAGCTAACCTTTCATTTTGTCCAGCCCCCTAGGGATTCATTCCCTTGGACAGAGCACTTGGCCAAGGCAGCGTACCAGAGCTTATCTGTTCATTTCCTGAGTTAGGAGTGATGCTAAATAGGTCAGTTACAGGCCTAACACACATCACTCTGGCTATAATTAATAGTAGTGTATTGTATACTTAACATTTGCTAGGAGAGAGCATCTTAAGTGTTCTCACCACACATGCAAATCTTAGCTATGTGAGGTGAGGTATATGTTCATTAGCCTGATTGTGGTAGTCATTTCACAATGTATATTTGTATTTACTTTTTAACACTTGAGCAACTGGGTGCCTGGGTGGCTCAGTTGGTTAAGCATCTGCCTTCAGCTCACATCTTGATCCCAGAGTCCTGGGTTCGAGTCCCACGTCCCTCCCAGGTTCCCTGCTCAGTGGGGAGTCTGCTTCTCCCTCTCCCCTTGCTCCTCCCCCCTGCTCATGCTCTCTGTCAAATAAATAAAATCTTAAAAAAAAAATACTTGAGCAACTACAGGATGTTCAGAAGTAGGAAACAGGGTGCTGAATGGGTTGGCTCTTTTTTTTTTTAAGATATTTATTTATATGACAGAGAGAGACACGGGGAGAGAGGGAACACAAGCAGGGGGAGTGGGAGAGGGAGAAGCAGGCTTCCTACCGAGCAGGGAGCCCGATGCAGGGCTCGAACCCAGGACCCTGGGATCATGACCTGAGCCGAAGGCAGACGCTTAACGACTGAGCCACCCAGGCGCCCCTGGGTTGGCTCTTAACGCACAGAATCTAATAAGACCAAAACATACAGTTCTTTCCTCCACATATCAGCTTTGGGGTTTCAGCAAAACGTGAGCACCTGCCATTGAGATGTTGTAGCCAAACTCAGGTGAGTTCGCTCCTTGGTGAATTCTAGGTAGAGTATGGGCTACAGCTGGTGGAGTTGTCACACAAAGGAAAATTTATTTGCTGCGAATAAAAAGTTATTTTGGAATAACTTCCAAAGCCTTGACTCCCTGAGCAGTGGTGAGTGGGTTCCTTTTATTTAGGGTTAGAATGAATATTCAGAATGAGGAGTTCTGTCATCCCTGGTAGAGGCAGGTATCAGGTTGCACAGGTAACTGTCAGTCTAGGGGAATGGTTGATGAGCGAGCTCTTAGAGCCTGTGCAAACTGAATGGAGCTCTGGGCTCCTTATCTCAGGACAGGAATGCAGGGCCTTGCTTACTTTTTTGAAAACAGCGCTTGAAATTTGTGCTACTGATGTCTCTGATATGGTTAGGCCAGATTGTTAGTTTTCTCATTCCCTTTGCTCCCTTAAAGTCCTGAACTACTGAGGTTTTTGCATTGCTCTGTAATTCTGACACATTCTAGGAAGTTCTGCCGGAAGTGTGCTAGGACAAGCAGAGCCCATAAGGCATAG